TTTCTCCAAAACCATATTTTGTCCTTCCTGAACTGTTGCAATTTTTAATACCAATGCACATTTTCTTTGGCTATGAAGAGGTGTCCCAGGCAATGTGATATTTTTGGGGTTATTTTAGTAATCCAGGACAAAATAGGTTGTAGACATTGTTGGGTGGTTTGGTCTAGTTACCCATTTTGATTACTACTCTACTCCTTGGTAGCGCTTAACTCTGACAGCTTCAGAAGAAGAAACCTTAGGGCAGTTACACAGAGTTTTTCTCTTTGGAAAATGTCACTTTAACCTCCTCAGTAAGAAGGATGTAGATTGCTTAGTTTTCTTCTAAAAGCCTGAGAGTTTACATGTTTTAGGTTTATTCCCCCCACAACCCCCTTCTTAAAACAACTGTCACTTTGTTTCTGTTAGGAAGAAGGCTAACGCAAACATGAGGTGTCTGTGTCCATGTCCTTCCTCTGCCATCACTTTTGGATTCATTTTGTCTCACTTCAACCAGATTTGACTGAGAATCAGAAATGTCAGTGGTTGTTGCATTTGCATGGGTTTTTTAAAAAAATGAGTGAAGCAGAAGAGGAGGGCCTGAAGAAATAAATCCTCAGGGGGAAAAAACCAAAACATTGTCCTTTCCAGTGCTTGAGGGAAGCTAACTCTGTCATATAGAAACATCAAATCCTCTTTGACTAATAGACTGAACCACTGCCTTGTGGTAAACCATTCCATGGACTTCTGAACATTTTCGTAAGAGTAGTATTGATACAGGAATAAAAAACATCGTGGATTTTCACTACTTGTTCATATTCTCAAAGGGGTGGGCTGGGAAAAGGATGAACCAAGGAGGCTGAATATCGTTGTGCGGAACTAAACAAATTGTACTTAACGTAAAAGCAGCTGGAACAGAGAGATGTGATATATGTTGCAGCTGAATACAGAGGAGAGAATTTGTCTTATTGTAAAATAGTAATGGCCAAGTGGATTTTATTTTCAGTTCTGTCATTGGTTTTTGTTTTAGGTCCTGTTTAATATGATTGTAGAAGTACCTCGTTGGACGAATGCAAAAATGGAGGTAATTAAGAAAAATACCTTGATTATACAGGTATTTATGAAAGTTATGACAATGCAGTGGCATCCAATAGTCAGAGTTTAATCAGTGTGGATTACTCTTTACACATAAAATTTTCTCCGTTAAAAAATTAATTTGAAGTTGTGCAGACACTTTCCTTGCGATTATAAAAAGTGTTGCGGTTCTAATTTTGTTTCCCTTCCGCAGGTGAGCACTGCTTCTTGACAGCCCTCGACTGCAGAGTGCAGCATACCTGTAACAGAATCCTAGAGTACTGGCTTGGAGGACATTGTCCAACATTTAGTCTTACTCTTGCTTGCTCATAGAGCGTTCCACTCAGAGGATTTAATTCCTCTCATCTCCGCTGTATAGTGTGCTAGGCCAAATCTTTACAAATGGAGTTGCAAATGAAAAAGCATTTCCTTGTGACAAAAAAAAAAATACTTGGGGACATCACTGATTGAAAGTATCTACTCCTGCAGGGAGATATTTTAAAATAGAGGGTTGTTCCTCTGCAGTTACAATATAGAAGCTGAGTAATGCTTCATCTGTAGTGTTTGTGAAACAATAGATCTCACCAGGATATGTCCTCTCTTCCTGAACATTTGTATTAATTTTAGGGATGCTTCCCGGATGCTTATGAGGAAGTTTGTGGTTGAGCTGTTAACTATTCTGATTATTAAAAATAACACCGAAGAACCTCCCCAGCCTGTTATTTCAGAATTTTGTTTTCTCCTTTCCCTGACACTGGAAAATCATTTGAACTGTGTTTACCACCACTTGGATATTTACCTTGTATTCTAAGATGATGATTTATTGTGGAAGTTGAGTTCTCTTTTGCAGAGCTTCCCTTTGACAACGCTATTTGAATGCTTTGCGTAAAGCTCCGGTTGCTCTCCCTCCCTTTCTCTTGGCACATTATGTCAAGGGTAGAAAAGCTTGTTGTCCTGTTAGGTTCAGAAATCAGTGGGTGTAGACTTTCCTTGCTTGATAGAGGAGACCAGATGTAGTTCTCTAATCCATAACTTGTCATATACTTGAAATTTCCTGCATTAATTGTTAAGGCAGTTATCTTGCCTTGCCATTGTGTCCTGGCAGTCCTTCAGCTCAGACTGTGGTAAGGTGCTAATAACAGGTCTTGTCTGCATCTCCGTGCTGAGATTCCCTCATGTGGAATGGAGACTGTAGGAAATTAAACCTTGCCTTAGGATGAATGTTTCCCACTGTTACATCCCCAGTGCCAGATCTCCTGCTCATCAGTTTGTTGTATTTCTGTTGTTCTTGCCTTGATTTTACTGAAGGTGCTTTTCGTGAGACTTTTGTCTGCTGTTGTCAGTTACTCCTCTTTGTCCCGGTTTACAGCAAGAAAAAGCATTGTTGAGCTCCACTTCTGTCAAAGTTCCAGGTGGCATATTCGAGGTCTTCACTGTTAAGTTATGACCAGAAGCAGGTAGAATCAAGTGTGAAACCAGAAACGTGTGAACCTTCGTCTCAGCTCTTGGGGAGGGTTTACTTGTGGAATAAGTGCATCCTATTGACAGTTTGGTGTGGTTCAAAAAGGTGGAATTCTTTTGGGATGGCTTTGGACAAGGATGTTGAAAAGTGAATATGGACTAAGGGCTGTGTGCTTACGCACGCAAGCTATGTCCCAAGCCAGTGTGTGCTCATAGCCTGTAACAAATGTGATGCCATTCAGATGAGTGTTTGTAAGCAAGACCCAAGCTAACATGGATTGGGTTGTGGTGTGGAGTGTCAAAAGGATGGTTACAGTGAATAAGCTGATGTGTGGTAGGTAGTTTATACAGCAGTGGGTTTGTATTTGAGGTTTTGGGGAGGATGATGACAATAAGAAACTGTTCAGCTTTAATTACTTCAGTCCTTCTGTGAGTGCTTCTTTGGGAATAAGAATGCCGCCTTCTGCTGCTAGCTTAACTTGTTCCAAATCTGCGTGAAGTTGGCATTTGGTGACTATGCAGAACTTGTCCTTACTAAAAAGCATTTGTATGCTGAGAGGTGATGGAGAGAAGAGATGTATGCAATAGGAGAGCAATGAACAGGGGGTGAGAAGAAGATGAAACATTTCCCCTGTTGCTGTCAAAGCCCCTGTTGTCTGAAGAACTTATGCCAGCATTTGTACGTCCGTTGAACTTGTACTATAAAGTGCAAGAGCTTCTCACTTAAGTTCTTTTCAGTATTTATGTTTGACCATGACAGTCTCCTTATAAATTTACGACTTTCTCTTCTACATTCAATTTTTTTCTTGCATACTTCACAACGTTATTTAAAACCTTAATAAACTGCTCTTAGAACATGACCCTTGAGATTTAGAGTGAGGCCATCGTACTTTTAATACTTCTCAAACCACAAGCACATGCTCCCAAATGGAGCTTTCTAACTGGTTGGGTACAGAATGAATTGCTTTCCATTTTACCATTCTCTCTTTCTCTCTCTCTCTCTCTCTCTCTCTTTCACGATCTGCTTAGATTGCCACTGAGGAGCCGTTGAATCCCATTAAACAAGATATAAAGAAAGGCAAGCTTCGATATGTGGCAAATATCTTTCCTCACAAGGGTTATATATGGAATTATGGTGCCCTCCCACAGGTAACATTTTTGTTATAATGGTGAAAGTTTTCTGTCTTCTGTGTAAATTGCCTTGTAAATCTTGGGTACTGCTGAATGCAAATCAGTTGCAAGACGGATGTTTCTCTCTGATACATTTGTAAATTAGGATTTTTTTATGTTGAGCTTTATTGTGTCCATAATTTTTGATCAGAATCTGGGTGTGGGTATAAATATGTGCTGTGTTTCAGGAAGGAGTTAAATGATCAAGAAACCTCGAATCTTTAGTCTGCATCTCTGTACTGTAGTGACAGAATTAAACTGTCATGGTCTGCCATTCAAGCATACTTTGTGAAGTAGCCCTTTTCTAAACTAATTTTTTTTTTTCATGTATTGCAGCGTAAATTTTAATTGGGATTTCTTAATATCTTTAACAGAGGAACACGAGGGCTGTTCTTTTTTAGATTAAACCTCAACTGCCTTAGTTAACTTTTCTCTGAACTGTGAGACTTTACTGATCATGACACAGTCAAAACTTTGAGCCTTGAAAAGGCCCAACTAATGGCTGAAATTTTGAGCATACTGAAAGGTTTTAAACTTCTTTCATTTCTGTGAATAACACATTGGAGTTAAATTAGTACTGAAGAACATGATGGAGCTAGAAAAGAGTAACTTATTTTCTTTACAGTTAACTGCATAAGCAATGTAAGTTTACTCCTGAAAATCTGCTTTCTGTATTTGATCTCTGAAGAGGAGATACCAGGCAGGTGCTGGAGTGTAGCAATGAAGTTCTTACCCAGTCAGCAGTTTCCGTAGACAAAGCTTCCAAGTAGGTATAGTTGGGAACCAGCAATTCCATTTAATGTTTTGAAATTCGTGTGTGCCTTAATACAAAGCCAAAATTAAAAATTTGAATGTTTTCCTGAACGAAGTGCATTATTTTGGACTGATGACACTTTCCCCAGGAGAAATGTTCAGCTCCCCTTGTTACCTCGTAAGTCAGAGAGGTCTGGAGATAATTGTCATTTTTTTTTTCTGTAATAACTTTAAAATACCGGTTGGATCATTACACCTCCAATTGTTGAAGTCTAGATGATAGGCCAGATTCCTACTAGCAGCTGTAACAAATGAAATTCGATTCGGTGTCTCCATTACCACAAGAGGACTTTTCATCAGGACCAGCAGTTGCCAGAAGTTCAGCCCTAGTGTATGGCTTGAAGATATATATTTGTGGCTGCTGTTTTATGCTGTGGAACAGGGAAGAAAAAAAATGACGGTAGGACTACCATTATTGCAGGAGTTGCTGTACAGTCCAGAGAACAATACCATTCCTAGTGAGCTTTCCTTCTAACCTACAGGTGGAGGGGTGAAGCTGGGCAGGAAAATAGTACCGGTATAATGCAGCCTTAAATAAAAAGCACTTTGGAAAAGTATTGGAAAAATAAGTTTTAAGTTGAAATTCTCTCTTGGCTCCACTTCAGCAATTTTTTGGTAATGATTCTGCTACCTAAACACCTGAGTGTTTGCTTTTCACAGTTTTGCCTTTTAGTATAAATCAAATTCTCAAGAACAAGTTTGAGGCGAAGGTTTGACCGTGGACAGCAGGAGCTAACAGTATAGCTCCTTGGGAAAAAAAACTTCCTAACACCTTTCAACAAACCTTTATTGGACTCAAAATTCTCACCAGGAAAACTTCTCAACTTTAGAATGAGTTACTCATTACTAGCCAGTAAGAGATGAAACAAGTACTGGTCTGGTAATTAAGTTAGTATAACTTGGCTGTGATTCCTTGCTCGTACAGAGCTCAGAGCAGGGATTTGAACTTATCTCCTGGAGAAGCTGCTTTGATCTTAAGCTGCTGGCTGTTCTTGGGAATGTACACATCTCAAAATACTCAGAAATGTTTCATACCTAAATCTAAAAACTTTAAAAAGCTAATTGGGTGCTGACAAATCCATACCTAGGAGCTTGGTTAACTCAAAGTCTAGATGTTTTTGAAAGCAACTTATGTTAGTGCCATGGTATTTAAAGAGTATAATAAGAATGTGGTTGTAGGATGTTCTAGCTTAATCGCACAACCACTAGTAACCAGAAAAATACATATTCAGGGTCCTCTGATGCCTTAATCGCTGCAATTTGATTAAGTGTGTCTCTTGAGTCACGGATGCAGTTAATACTTTTGTTACTATGTCCTCAGTAATCCTCATGTTACTTGTCCTGAATATGAGGATGAGTTACTCAACGTCAGTCCATTGGCTGTTTGTTTGTTTTTTCTTTTCCCGTTGAGCAAGACTGTTCTCAGAAAGCTGATGTTTTTATTGGTGTTTTTATTAATCTTAGTAATTTAGTGGTTAGATGAATTGTAATTGCAGATCAGCTGGTAACTGATAATTCTCTTTCCTTTGACAGACCTGGGAAGATCCAAGCCATACAGATAACATTACAGGATGCTGTGGGGATAATGATCCTATTGATGTTTGTGAAATAGGTTCAAAGGTTTGTCTTTATCAGGATTAATTTAATTTATCATGGTTAATTTAATAATTTGGTTACAACTTTTGCAAGAGAAGGGCAGATGGAAAACAAGTAAAGATTGTTATAGTCTCAGGGGATGGCAAAAGTATGTGAATAGAGGATCTGAGGAGGGAATAGGTAAGGAAATGGTGGATTTTTAAAAAGGATTAAAAAAAGCAGGATTTGGTAAAGTCTGTGTACTGGGTAAAAGGGAAAATAAGAGGCCATCACCCTTAAGTTCTGTGGCTGGACAGTGAGTTTTGGGTGAAGGAGGAAGGGGTTGAGATTTTGGGGGAAGGAAAAGTTTTCTTTCTTTTTTCCCTGTTAGCAGTACTGGAGCTAGGAATAGGTTTCTAAAAGATGAGGAATTATGGCAGCGTCATGCACATAAAATTACAACATCAGACCCACAAAGGAGGTAGGTTTGAGTTTTCTTATGGGTGGAAACAGAAGTAGATCCCTTTTCTCTAGAGGAGAAGACAGGAACCTGTTGCAGTCTTGCAGAGTTATGAGATTTGGAGTGGGTGGATGAAAAAGAGGTACAGCAAACACCATTAGTAGGTATAGGGGAAAGGTTTAGCTCACTGGAAGAATATTCTACGTATCTGGAGGCAGCAAAGAATGGAGCAATCCTCCTTGGTATCAAAGATGGGGTTATGAAATGGATGAGTTTGGAAGAGGGATCTCTTGGGATATTTTACATAAGGAGAAATTTAATTGGTGACCTCGGCGAAGGTGGCTTTATTTGAGGAAAGTAACCTAAAGCTGAATTTCAAGGGATCCAGAAAGCGTTATAAAGGGAATGTTATCTGGTAGGGAGAAGGTTCCCAAGAAAATGCAAAGAAGAGCTGTGCTGATATTTCTGGGGAAGGGGTGTGTGTTTATATGTGTATATTGGAGTCTAGAGGAAGGAACAGCAAGAGATAGATTAAGACCGAGAGTTGAGAAAGTAGAGAGTCAAGAAGGACTTAAAAAATGAGTATGAGATACTTTTGACTTGCAGTTTGGGGTGAAGATCAAGAAGGTGTGGGGGAAGTAGCGTATAAGAGAAGGAGAAATTTTCTAGCTTGTATTGTCTACGTAAATAAATGCTGACTGGACAATTGTGGGTTGAAGAACAGCAATGGTGGGAGAAAGGCTAGTAATATTAAATAGATGTGTACTGGGTTTACAGATCTATCTTGCAGTTCTGTTAGCTGCTGGTCAAAAATGTAGTAAAACTATTTTGTCTGTAAGGTAAAAGAAATTCTATGTAGTGTTTTCTAAATCTTTGTGAGATTATGTTCTGTTTCAGATTCGTTCTTCTGGTGAGATTGTTCAGGTGAAGGTCTTGGGTGTTTTAGCTCTTGTTGATGAAGGAGAGACAGATTGGAAGATAATTGCTATCAGTGTGGATGACCCAGAAGCTCAGAAAATCCATGGCAAGTATTTTTATCTTTCTTAATGCAAGTTATGTCGGCAACTTGCACGGTAGAGTAGTATCTGAGTTTAGGCCACCTAGGACAAGGAGAGGCAGACAGCGGAAAGGCAAGACTTTTATTTTTTTCTGTTGTTTAAATTAGGTGCTTCCTTCAAGGAGGGCATATGTGCTTTCACTCTAAGCTTTTGAAAAGGTTCACTTGGATTTTCAAGAGGACCTGTCATGCAGAAAGTCTTTTGACTTCTGAAACACAACTGCCTTAGAAAGTGACCTCTTAAAATTACAGGCTTATCTCCTGTGTAATAATGCATATTTACCCACTCAGATTATGTAGCACACTGCTATTTTCCTTGTTGAAAGTGTTTGTTCCTTTTATATTTGCAGGCATTGTGTTGCATCTGAAAAGGGCTGTACGTTTCCAATGTTTTGTCACTTGTAACTGGGTTACTGCCAGGGTTTGTTGCCTAGTATGAACGCTTAGGTTTCACCTTTTAGCTTGAAAATTTGCAAAGTAAACTGCTAATGCAGCTCACCCTAGCATCAGCCTTGATGATGACTAGCTGTGCAGGGGGAAATATCCTGTCCAGACTTGTCCTCCCTGTGACCATGCTTCTGATATCCAAATAGAATTCAAGTACTAAAATGTGTCTATGTGAATATCACGTGAGGTGTAATTCTGCTTGCAGACTGTTTGATAAGAAGATGATACAGATGTGTTAAAACTGCAGGGGGTTAGGTTTTTACAGCACAGGTAAAGTGCAGCTTTTCTCTGGATAAATGGAGATTCACTTCCTCAAATGCAGTGTTACTGGGCATTGTGAGAATTAAGTGAGGAGGTTTGTCTAAAAGTTAGTGATTGTTATGAGACCAAAACCCATATATACCATCAAGTAATGTACGATCAGAACCTGCTCTTTGTTGGTAGGGAGCACCAAGGCACAGAGTGGCCTTTCTGTAGGAATAGGGCTATCCAGTAGCTTTTCAAGGAATTATGTTTCTCGGCCATTGAGGCTTTTTCCTGGTTTCTGAATGTAAAGTAAGTATATCGCTGGACTGGCCCTTCATTCTCAGTTTTCTTGCAGGTTGCTTTCACATGGAGAATACTTGGCTTATGGGGAAAGAAGGGGAGAAGAGGAAAGGAGGAAAAGGAAGCTCTTGGGTTGATGTTGATTAAAATCATTGGGCAGATGAATTACTACATCGTGTTTATGACTCTTTAACTACTTTGACAGTTAGGGATTAGGAAGTTCAGCTTAAGGAAATAGTAAGTAATAGTTTGCTATTAATGTTAGTATCAATTTAAACCTCTCTATAATGTGCAGTGAAATGCGATATGTCAGTAGTTAAAAGGCAAGTACTTAGTGTTTTATTACTATACATTGTTCTGTTTAACTCTTACCTTTTTTCCTTAACAATTTCTGAGAGAGTTTAATCAGAAGAGTGGGTGAGAGAATTGAAATGGAGTCCACTAAGTAGGGGCAAAACTGGGACAGTTTATGCCACTCGGTTAAGTAGCTCTATTTGAGAGCCCTCTGTTTTGTTTTGTTTTTTCAGGTAATGACTGATTTGTGTCAGCTGTGTAACATCTTTAGTTTGTTTGGGAGGGGAGTAAGAGTTTTAGTCTTGTTTTTTGTTTTTTAAAAAAAGGGAAAAAAATGGGCAAACCATTGCCTGTAGTTGATTCCTCTGTGCATCCTTTCTTAGAGAATAGGTGCAAAACTTCAAGGGGAGAACTGTCCTTCTGAGGTTCAGAGAAGTGCAGAAATATTTATCCAGTTTAATATGATTTCCCTTTGGGATTGGAGTTGCAGTCCAGGATTTACAAAAGGAAAGAAAAAGGAGAAGAAAAAAAAAAAAGCCCCCATCTGCTTTCACAAAACATGACTAGCTTGCAGTGTTTAACAGCAATCCTTCTTCAGTCTGAAAACAAACAAATCTGTTGGAGTAGGCAGTACAATATGTCCTTTTATACTTGTTTTTCCCCCTTCCAAAAGATGTTAATTATTTCAGCATAAAGGGATAGCAGCTACAGATAAAATTGGTATCTCCCTCAATAATTGACGTGCTGCTGTGTTACGGTGGTGGCCTCCTAGGGAACGATGAGGCTAAGTGACGCCTTCAGTCTGTCCAGTCATTTTTGTATCATTTGCTAAACCTTTTGAATTGGACTGAGAATCATCACATTTGCTTTCAGCTCAGTATGTGCACAGCCCCCAGTGAACATTTGGAAAAGATAATTCCGAGACACCAGCGTGGTGATTACTTGCAAACCCCATCCTGAGCCCGCGCAGTGTGTTAACTCCTCTTGCTGCTTTAAGCACACCCCAGGTACTCTGTATGTTCTCCTTCTGGGATTGTGATCGTTCTCATCAGTGCAGTTGATTTTTCTGAGACTTCACAGAACTTAAAATTGAGCAGTCCCAACTTCTGAGCAGTTCTCATTGTTTATTCATAGCACTCCACTGTACTGTGTCCTGCAGGCATTTATTGATAAATACTGGTTTAAATTGGAAACCCTGCCTAGAACTCTCTTTCACACAGAGTAATGAGAAACTCTAGTTTATAGTGACAATAACCAGGAATGATAAGCAATGCTTAGCACCTATTCAAGTGGGAACTGTGTCATCAGTGGGAATAGCAGGGGCTTAGTGTCTTTTGGACTGACTTTAGAAGGTAATATGTTTGAAATTATAGCACTTCATACTGGTGGGCATGGGGACAATCTCACTCCAAATACAAGGTGTATGTCAGATGCAGGTGTCCATATGAGAAAGTTTCTTTTAGACTAAAACTGGACATCTTCAGATTTATCGATTTCAATAAGATCTGTCTTTGTAGCTACCTGAAAACCACTGTGTTGTCTTCCTGCTCGGGCAGTTGCTAGGCAGATGGCCATTAGCGGACCAGCAAAGCAACTTCAGACCAAGCAAGTCTGGGAAAGGGCCTAAAAGCTCCCTGCACACTGAAACACTAAATCTTGGTGGTGTAACAGGCCCAGCTGCTTTTTTGTTGTTGCTTTTTGTTTGTTTGATTTTTGTAAAATACTAGCCAGGAGAAGAAGCAAATTCTTGGAGTGGAAAGGGTGCTTGTCTGCTCAATTCATAATTCGGATTGAATTTAATATATTGGAATTCACATCCATATCTGATGTACTTTACAAGGTTGGGCTCAGAAAGGATGAGCGATATTTTCATGCTGTAATTTGGTTTAAATAAATATGGCATCTTCGTGTTGGACAAGAGGTTTTGAAAATCACTGGCAGTTGAAGCAGGAAGTGTTTTGGAAGCAGCTTATGAAAAGTCTGACTCTCAAAAGGTCATCTTACCTTCCCTGAGCAAATTGAATAAATCATGTATGCTGGATGGCATTTTGGAGGTGATTTACCAGCCTGGAATCTTAGCAGCTGTTTTTTGCTATTGCTCACTGGAAGGATGCTTGGATATATTCCAACAGCAGTTGGTGATGTCTACCAGCTTTGTTGCGCTACCATTTGCTGGCACTGGTATAGTTAACTGTGCTGTGTTGCCATGCTGCTTTTCCAATGTGCAACTCAAGATGGGCTTTTTGAGTTAAGTGATCAAACCCTAAATGGCAAAACCAAAGTGTATTACATACTTTGTACCATATATTGTTATAGGCCCTTGCATGTGAGTGTATTTATATGCAGAGAAGCAGCAGAGGCCCTGAAAACCTTTGTTGTGGATTTGTGTAAGCATTCAATATAAAGAAATTAATTATCTGTACTGAGGCTCCCCTCCAACCCGCTCACACCATGCTGCACAAAATATACCAAATGCCTTTATATGGAATGTAGCTGCTGCTTCCTGTAAATGTTTATAAGATGTTATTAAAAACATATGTCCTCTCTTCCCACAGACCTTGTTTAGAAAGCTTGCTGCAAGCATGTTGTTTTAGCTTTGCTTGCAAGAAGCAGCATCTGTTGTACTAAAAATGGTAGTTTTGTACAAATGCTTTTGTTGCTCTCTTTTGTAAAGCCAGATAGAATTGGGATCTGCGTTTGCATTGGCTCACTCCCTTGACAGAGAGCTAGCAGCAGTTGTTTGTGCCAGCCTCTAGAGATTTTCCTTATTGAGACTAAACTGCAACCCTTAACGTGATTAGCCATCTCTTTTTAACCCTTGGTGCTTAACTTTGGTGCCCAGAAAAATGGGGCCTATGGTTGTATGTACGCAGTATAAAGAAATTACTGCCTAGAGCCCAGTGGGTACGTGCTGATAATGTACTTGCAAGAGCCTGACCTTTTTGCTCTGCCACTCTGAGCAGGGCTTGCTTGCAGAGATGAAACCATGTTAGGTCAGGTGCATGCTTGCTACTCCTGTACTCACTCAGCCCCTTTTAGCATGAGTGTGAGTACATAGGTCTAAGGGAAGGTAAGCAGTCAGGCAGAAAAAAGTGTCTAACAGTGTCTGCTGCGGAAAAGACATCTAAGCGTGGTTTTTTTTAATCATAATATGCAGCTAGCTTCTATAGATATTAGTGCAGTAAATCACTGTACTACTTATCGTGATCTTTTCTTTTACCTTTCTTTGCTTACTCTTCTGTTTTCTGAGTATGTTTTTCTCCTTCTCCCCCTGATATCCCAAAGATGCTGTTTGGATTTCGAAGTAGAGGACAAGCTGTCTTTCAAGCTTTTCTATGGTGCCTTTTAATGAACTGAAGAGGTAGCTGTTGAGTGATGCGAGAGCTGCTGTTTTCCTTATATTTTGTGCTATGTGCTGACTCCACAGCAACAGGATTGATTTTGTTGTTGTTGTTGCACTTTTTCCTGCTGCTTGCCACCAGCTCCCATTATAATACGGATGTTTTGGTTGGTTTTTTTTCTTAAACCATTTAAGCTTCATTTGGTGCCCTGTAGCTGTCCTTCATAATAGTGAAGTGAAGCATGGATGTGAAGGAGAATAACTTGCAAGGAACCAAGGAAATAAAAGCAACCACTGTCCCCCTTCTTAAGTCCTCAAAAACAGAATATACAGCAGCCAGTATTTTAGGGGCCATAAAATGCTGTAGCCTGATTCTGTGTAGTGTTTTTACCTAGGCAAGGTAGAGAGTGTGAAATTCAGAGAGATGATTCTGTCCATGAAGATGGTCATCCCTATCTTGAGGTAATGAAGGCCTGCCCCAAAGCCTATTCTAATATGATTCCTCTAAAGAAATATAAACAAAGCCTATAAATAAGGAACAACAGATGGGGAAGGGCCCAAGTGTCAGTTAGTAGACAGTAAAGCACTTTCAATGAACAGTTTTTATGGGAATAGGAGGCAAATAACAAGTAGGAGGAATGAAGAAGCAGAGTTAGGAGAGAAGTTTGCTGGAACAGGAACCGGAAAAAAGGAGCAGCAGTCTGAGAAAGTATGCTTGAATTTAAGTAGTGGCTGGAGATGCAGATCTGGAGTTCATCCACTGCTGGGAGCCAGGGAAATTGCTGCAGCAGCCTGGTTTGCTTTACAGACTTGAGGAGCTACTGTCTCTTCAACAAGTACTAGAAGTTGTGAGTTCAAACCTCACAAGAGGAGGAGATGACAAGGGCTCAAGATGGGAGGAGGGATGTTCCCTTGCTTGGAGAGAAGAGGATGATACACTGGAGCCCTGAAACTGATTTGAATTGGAGCTGCAGTTTTATTAGTGCCCAAATGAGGCATCTTGCTTCCAGCCAAGACCCCACCCTTTTCTAAATCATTCCTTCTTACTTGGTCTCACCCACCCTAGTGAAAGGGTTCTTGTATTCTTAAGCATGTATTCCAGCTAGAAGACCTGCCTCTAGCACAGCCTTATGTGCCCTTGCTTTTTTTTCTGGGATTCTGGCAATGAAACTCCCTAATCTTCTACAGGCAGATGGCCAGCAGCCAAGTTCAAAATGTGTTTTACTCCGAGTCCATAAACACGTAGCCCTATTAAGTGCGTGCAGAAGCAAAAATTTACATAGGGTTCTTCAAAGTTTTATGTTTTGTTCTTTGGGTAGTGTGTGATCCAGTGGAATTTGGGAGTGGCATCTATCAGATGCCTATGAACACTCAGCACATCTTCTCACATAGGTTTGGTCTCACAGTTCAGTCCACATGTCATCTCTCTTGGTGGTCTACAGAGAATTGAATGTTCTCTAGCACAAGACTTTTTCCCTTCTCTTACTGTTCTCATTAGAAATACTTGAATGTCTTTGTTCAGGTTCACAGACTAGATTTTAAAAAGACATTTAGGCACTTAAAGATGGAAAGCACATGACTAGGTGTCAATTCCGTGGACTAAGCAACTCTGAAGATCTGTTTTATAGGGCCAGATAGACAGAAGAGTATCCCATCAGGAATCGCTGCCAACCAGGAGATGTCAGTGAATGAGGCATACCTATGAGAGAAGAGAATGAAGTAGCCAAGCAGCATGGAGAGAGAGCAAGAGGGAATCAGAGGAAGGGAGAAATGAGCAAGTGACTTGCAAAACACTAGAGAAGGAGAATAACACCATGGAAGGTGGCCTGGGCAGAGTGAGGTTGTGAAATAGCTGGAAGACTGCATGCAAAGCACAGCAATAAAAAGTCAGCTCCCATTTCCATCAGAAGTGACTGTAGGAGGGAAATAGATGGAAAGAGAAGGATTACATCAGCTACAAAAAGTACTTGGCTTCTGGAAAGGACAAAATCCTTCATTGTATCAAAATTAATTAAAATTGTATTGAAGGCTTTTCCATGTAAACATATTGTCGGAGAGTTAATTTGCCGAGGGGCTGATAGGACCACCTTATTGCAAGTGACAGGAGTGATGGTAGTCTCACAGGAAAATCCGGTAAAATTTGATAGGCAGAGCAGAAGTAGACGTTTAAGATCATGAACTGCGTCTTAGCCCTTGAACAGAACTACTGTGTGACTGTTTATAATATCTCTGTACCCACTGGGGCAGTGTTCATCTCTGCCTCCCAAGGGTGTCCTGCAAATGGCATGCATTCCTCTTATTGTCCTGTTCTATCTTTGCACGGTAGGATTATAGAGGTAAAGGTAGAATTGGCTTATCACTGTGAGTATGCAGATATCATGGGGTTATCAGTAGAATTAGTGTTTAGTGCACCTGGCACATATCTGTCTTGTATCTAATGGGTTGAATTTGGAAGTAATGTGAGCAAAGGGATGCCTTTAACGTAACTTTGAGAAGTCAAGCCTGTATTTTGTTTTGAGGTGCTAGTTTAAAAATCCATGTGTTGAAATTGTTTTTACTAGCTATTCTTTCATTATCAAAAAATGCCTGTAGTCCCTGCAGTTGCTGAGGAAAAAAATACCGCACTGAATAATCTTAAGTGTTGCAAGAGGTACCTACTGAGATGAAAGCCTATAAATACAGAATTTTCTTTCTCTCCTGTCACAAGTATGGTCCTTTTATTCATTGTCCCTTTGGGTCTTAATTAATGAAGGGCAGGAGGCAACTGGTTTACCTGTTTAGTGTGGTTGTGAAATCATAAGATATCAACTATGGGCAGCTAATGTAATAAAGTGAAGTTCCCCAATGACTTTGAAAGTGCTCAGTGAAATCAAATTGCTTGCAGATCTTTTACGAGACTTTAAAAAAATGAATGTTACAGAAGTTGTGAGTAAAAATCACTAGTCCTTTTCTATTTTTTTTTTTTTTCTTTTTAACCCACAGATCTTGATGATGTCAAGAAGCACAAACCAGGTTACCTTGAGGCTACGGTTGACTGGTTCCGATTGTATAAAGTCCCTGATGGTAAACCGGAAAATCGGTTCGCTTTTAATGGAGAATTTAAAGATAAGGTGAAGATAATCCAAAATTAAAGATGCATCTTTCTGTCATATGGCCTCTTTAATACATCCTAGAATTTTTGGAATTGTAAAGGAGGAGGTTTAACAAAAAGAATTTTTATTTAGGGATCTTTGAATACAATTTATTAGGCTAGGAATAAATAATGTTTGCTGTCTTCCATTTTATTCAGGGAAAAAGCATAGGTTATTAAAGGAAGTCTGCAAAAAAACATTGTCCTAATCCTGATGAGACTTACACACTCATCTGTATGTTTGTAGGTTTTTTCACAGCATTTTCATTCTCCCTGTCAGAGGAATGAACAGATTGTCTTTCTAGGTATTTTTTTCAGTCTTGATTAATAAATTTTCCTGACTTTTTTTTAAGGCTATGCAGTTTAAGACAGACAATAGATAGCAGATTTTTTCATATTTGGTATTTGCTCAAGGTATACATTTTCATGGTAATTCTACGTAAAAACATTCGAGCTGTTTTTGGGTTGAAGGCTGAAAAAGTGTTTTTCCCTTTTTTAGCTTAAAAAGCCATTCATTTTTTCTATCTGCAGTAAAAATGGCCAGTGTTTGAAAGGAGAGTGGACCTCGGAATAGACCTTGCTGAAGAAAATACCTGGATTTTTCCAGAGGGAATTGCATGTAATTTTAGTAAAAGTGCTTTGCAAATCGTGTATTGCACACACTCTGTAGACTATTTTCGGCGAAGAATCACAGGTTCCTAATGAATGATGTCCATGTGTCAGCTAGGTTCAGCCTTGCAGCGTGCTATCAAAGTTACAAAATGCCTTCTAACCAGCACAGACAACTTTACATGTCTTGTCTGGTTAAAGAGATGCCCTGACTCCCCTCTGCACTAAAACTGTCTTTTAAATCCATCTAATGTAGAGTTGTAAGGCTTGATAACCTGATCTCTCTCCTGTTCTCCCAGAAACTGCTCTTAGATATTTTCCTGCTCTGTAAAGCAGTGTGTTGCGCAGTAGTGACAGTTTAACAGGGTATATCCCTGTCAGGCCATTGGAGTTCAGGCTTGAGGCACTAAATGCCCTGGGGTAGCTGGTTTGGAGCTCTTGAATAGTTCTCAAGCATTTCTAGAGACCCAGGATGTGGTGAGGCAGCCGTGGCTGTGCTCCAGCAGCTCTGGTGAAGTTCACAATGTTCCAGTGGCATTTTGCCAAGTCACTCCTTGTTAGGAAATGTGAATGTTCTGTTGGCAGCTCTTTGCAAGCCAGTCTAGATATCATCATCTGGACACTGAGGGCTTATTTTGCTTTATTTTTATTTTTTTGAAGCTTTGTCATACCCACCCCTGGTATTACTTTTGTTTTTAAACAAACAAAAACTGTGAAGCAGCTGACACGTTACGTTGTTGCAAATGCTTAAGTATATGGTTGGGCAATTAATGAAGTAAATGCAGATTTTGCCACTAGAGGGGAAACCTTAACTCTGACCCTGATGCACATGCGTAACAGAGGAGTCATAGCTCACACACTTTGTCCCATTTAGTACCTGGTACAATTTTCTACAGCTGTAGGTGTCTGCTTAGCATCTAGTGCTGATTTCAGTTTTTTGCGCAGCCTTCGTGTTTTCTGGCTGCAGACTGAGGGGAAAGTCCTGAATGTATTGCCAGTGTATTTGACAGATAGTGAAGTTTGTTTCTTTTCATAAAAAAGGGTGTTACATTTTCCAGAAATTTAATGAGGCCTCGAAGGAGGCCCCTTAAAATAACACATGAAACGGTGTGCTTTAATAAACTAGTTCTGTGGCTTTTTTTCTGTTTAATAACATTTTAAATCATAAAGCTTTTCCTTGATGTAAACTAGGATTTTGCTGTTGAAATTATTAAATCCACCCATGAATACTGGAAAGCTTTGCTTCATAAAAAAGCTGATGGAGGTACTATTAAGTGGTAAGTATCCAGTCACGTCTTCTCCTCTTTGTATTGTGCTAGTACTGGTGGTATTCAACATGTGGCAGCTGTGCATGAACTGCTTTGATTTTTTTACTTTGAGGTGACAGGAATACTCATGGTTTTGAGTGATAATTAATTGATAATAGACTATGATTGACTAATTGCACCTTGTATGACAATGATTTACTGGTAAGTGGTTCCAAAAATATATTGGTTATATAAAAGTGACACAGATTACTTTGACTTTTGAGAAATGGCCCCAGAGTGTTTGTTTGGGATCATTTTGGAAGAATCTTGGTATACCGTGCAAATCCTCTTGTCACTATTCATTCCATCCTTCCATGTTGCATTGCTGTGATGGAAAATTCTTTTGCAGCTTAGCGTTCTGTATTTTTTTAGTTGTTCTCTGGATTGAGAGAACCAAATTATTGTTCTTTACTAGCCTTTGGCTTTATCTAAATTAAAATGGACTTCATTGAGCTCTCTGGACTGGTTTGCTTTGGCAGTTTTGGCACCAGAGGCCCTGAAGAGCAGGCAGGTATCTTTACAGCCCTTGGAAAGCACCAGGCAGATCGCCACTAGCTAAACCAGAGGGCAAAGGCTGTGGGGGAAGCTGTGCTCAGATAGTCACTGTTGTCTTCTACTTTATTGGGAAAATGTGACTTTCTCTCTCGGAGCTGATCGAACACCTTAGCAGTTGGACAGGTTGATAGTTCTGCTTTAGCATGGCAAGAATACTGTAGGATAATAGTCAAATTTTGGTCTTGAGGCACTTTGAGCTTCACGTTGACCAAATTAAAAAATAATTAAAATTGCAGTCTTGCTTTGAGGAATTTAACTTCTTGCCGTTTACTGTGTAGGACCTTAAAAACTCATGACCAAACTCACTTTTGGTGTGAAAGGATAGGGAAACATTTCTGCAAAGTATTTGGTCCCAGAGTTTGTCTGCTCTGTGGAAGCAGTACAGGTACTTGCTGCTTTATATAGGAGCAGAATTTTGACCTGTTTTTTCCTTCTTGTTAGATACTGCAGGCAGGTTACTGCAAACCAAGGGTGGCCTGCCACAGAATCTGGCCAGCCTTCAAGGCACAAGAGACAGGGGATATTCACACCATCTGTGCTAGCCATCTAGGTGTTCTTCAACTCCCTCAGGAAGTGCCAGTTTATCTCTGCTGACTTTTTTGGGCGATTTAGTTGTGGTCCTCTGAACTGTACCCAAGTTAGGTGCCAGAAGCACTGAGTGTGAGCACTGCTTGCATTAATGTAGTGCATACGTAGTCTAAAAAAAGCCTCAAATCCAAAGAAACAAAGAACACCCCTCCACACTCCGTTCCCTTCCAGCATTACTGGTTACTTTGTGTTTTTGACTTCCTCATTTCTTGCAGATACACATGTCTGAGCTCTGTATGTTAAGGTGGTTTTTTCCACAGGTGCTTAATTGTGTGTGTGTCTTTTCCACTGATCGATAAAACATGTTTTTAATTTTATTTTTCAGCACAAATGTTCTGGTGAGTGGCAGCCCGTTTTGTTGCAGTGAGGAGGATGCCCGATCGATTGTGCAGTCGGTAAGGATAATATTTACTTTTTTCCACACTTTTTAAAAAAGTGATTAATAGGAAAAGAAGATTCAGAGCTCCAAACCTGAAAGTAGTTAAACTGAAATGGTCCTCAAACAAAAATTTAAGGCATAAAGTAAAAGAAAGAGCACAAAGGTTGTGGGGGAAATGTAAGCATTATAATATAAATCTTTCATTGCAGTGGTCCAGTTGTGCTTTCTGGCAGGTTCATTACTGTTCGGGGTGGGGGAGTGTTTTGGTGGTTTGGGTTTGGTTTGGTTTGGTTTTTTTTCCTCTCTCCCTCTGCAGTGCTGTTTCTTCTGATCCTGAATAGCAAGATGGACTGCTATTTGTATCTAGCCTGCTGTCTTCTCTGTCTCCCCTGTTGCCATGAGTTACCACTCAGTGCTAGAACTCATTGACTAGCTGACTGTAGTCCCTAATCACTAAAGGGATCCTTTGTTTGTCTACTTGCATAATAAAATGCATTGCTGTAAGAGAGGGGGATGCTTTTTGAATGTTTCTTAAAGAATGCCTGTCATATTCTGAAAATTAACATAAAATTAAAACATGCAGGTTTCCTGTTCAGGCGAGAAAAATGTCCTGCAGGTCTGATGCTTTCACGTGCAAATACTAGTGAAGGAGAATTTCTTCCATTTTAAAATATGCTAGTTCAGATGCCAGAAATTAAGCAAAGTTACCAGAAATTACATGGAGAAAAGTACCCCCGAGTATTACTCTTTTTTTTTTTAAACATATGCCATGATTGAGCCTGTGCTCATGACCACATGAGCATGACAGGTATTTTGCACATGTGCGTGGCTGCCTGGGCAGCCAGTGTTTTGCCCCAATATTCACAGTAATTATGCAAGTTCAGGTGTCAAAGGAGATGCCATCCACTGTCTGTGCAGTTAACATTCCAACAGCGTTTCTAGTAAGAGTATGTTCTCCTGGGTGGTGTTTTGTCACAAGCAAATAAGACTGTCAGTTGCAAAGAAAAGTTGGTTTAAGTCATAAAGAAGTGTCAAACCTAACTGTTCTTCCTATTCAGGTCTCTTGCTTTCAACACTTCTTTAAAAGGACCTTTATGGTTGCACTTGTGAATATTAATTAATGGGACTGTAAGTTTAAAATGAAAGAAAAACTCTTTTTGGAATTCAAATATATTTTTAGATGTCAGTCACAGCTATAAGGAAATATTTGCCTCCTCTGTACTTTCAAATTTACAATAAATTTTAGTGAGTGTTTACATGCAACTAAAATTTCAAGTTCAAATGTATTTGGATGGTGGCAAGCTGGCAAAGGAATATTTCCTTTTGCATTCTATGCTGTTTGTACTTTTAAGCATGTAGAGTACATAACTATCTGTTTAAATCAGCAGTTTCTGTTATTTTGTCTCTTAATAACAAATCAAAATTTTTCCTGTTTTTTTGGGGGGGAGATGAGTAAAACCAGTTCACAAAATAGGTACCTTGTATCAAACTTCAATGTCTTTTTTTATTATGAGCGCTTGCCGCCTTATCAAATATTATTGCTTCCTGTCTTTTTTGTGCCTCACATTTATTTTTCTTTAAGTGATACTGTTTTTGTGAAGTTGTCATCACATACTCCTTTCCATCATTCTGTTTCAGTTCAGTCTAAGTATTTTAATTGTGTCTTTGTAGGCTACTGTCTCTTGGCACTTTTCAGACAGGGAAAAGATGCAGTAGTCTTTTAAATACTGTTAATACTGCATGCAATTTCCAATCTATGATAACTAAAAAAAGTAAAATGCTCTTGAAATATGAATGGTGGACAGTCAAACTCTAAATATAAGCAGGGAGGTTGACTTGCACATTTTAAGCAGGTATCTTTTTGTCTAGTACACTACACTGCCCACTTTGGTTGTCAGGCATTCATCTCTTTCAAACTGAAGTGAAAGTACGTGAGTGTTGGCTGCAGAATTTTAATGGCTGTGGTAATTTTAAATGAAAGCTGCCTGTGTCTGTCTGGTGGGGGTTTTTTTGTTTGTTTGTGTTTTTGTTTTTTTGAACTAAAAGCAGATATATTTTCTTCTAATTTATGTCCATCTATTAACTTCTGGATAAAAACAGAAGAATGAAAGCTGAGGTAGCGATTTTGTATGCAAGTACAGTGAGAAATGTATTTCAGCCACTGCAAAATTTCGGAGCTACTTGTGCAGTGAGAGCTGGTTCCCTACAATTCTGTTTCCTGGGTCAGACTCCAATTACGGAATTTTTGAGTGGGTGGTAATTGCCTTAAATCAGGTATCTTGAGTTCTCAAAAAACAAACAAAAAAACCACCCAAAACCCAAAAGGCAACACTCAGTATTGTTAGGAACCAATTTTTACGGTGAGCGAGAGAACTATAACTAAGAACCAAATGGAAAATAAACAAATCCTTACCAAATACTTACCAAATTGTGCACTAATCAGAATTTCATACAGATTTTGGTCAGGTAGTTCCCAAGATAGTCCTGTTGATTTCAGTAGGATTTATTGTGCTATTATTTGACCTTTCATTATTTTACAGCGGTGGGACTAGAATGGCTTGTCTGTGTTGGGGAATTTCCACTCCACTGAGTTAGTTTCTAGATGGTGGGCATGGGTACTGTCATCTGTATTGGCGGCAAATGAGGAATGATTCTACAGCTGGTGAAGTTGCCATGTCCAGTCAATCCCAAAGAGATAGAAGATAATCTGTGCATATGGGAACACATACTGAACATTTGAACCAGCCAAAATTACACCAACCCCCTGCAACTACAAACCCAGTTGAGTTTTAACACTAGGTGGTGAACATTTCTAGTGTTTTCTAGCCTCTGAAAATTGTTTCATCTCTTTCTCAGCTCCAGTGTTAGTGTATGTTGAAAACTAAACCCAGGAGGTATAGAGCTTTGTAGCTGAATGTGTTAGTGCTAAGATGTACTGTTTATTTCAGGCTTTTAAGTGTTGCCATCTGTAAAACTGACCAGGACAGCCAAACCTTTGTTTAAAATTCATCCTGAGAACCGCTTGCTCACTTGCTCTGTGAAGAAGCTGCTGAGGACTTTGCAAGTTGGAAAATCTCCAAGGCAATCTATATATAGTTAGTAGAGCAGTGTTTCTCAGACTTACCACATAATTCTTCCCTTATAATACTGGAAATTGAACTAGGAGAGCTTTGCTAGATGAGGTCTCTTTTGATAAAATGCAGAACAATATCTTACAGGGGAAAATACTTGGCTTTTCCTGATAATTTAAAAAATCTCCAGCAAAATTTGAATCTGTATACTTACTAACGTGTTTCAAATAATTAAGATCTAAGCAGGAAAGTCTGTTAACTGCCTTTCTCCCTACATGTTTTCTGTGAGGACATTTCCATTTGGGACTTAGTAGAAGCAGAATTTTCTCTTTAATGGCCAGTTGTGAAACAAAAGATTGGTGGGTTTTTTGCTGTGCGTTTTTTTGGGGGGGGGTTGTTTGTTTGTTTTGCGGCGTTTGGGGTTTTTTTTGTTTGTTTTTTTTGTTTTTTAAATTACTTTGTTTGTTTGTTTGTTTTAAACAGTGTTCCAAATGAAAGGGTTGTGTAGTGAAGAGATTCCTGGTTCAGTGGGATGAGTTTTTGACCTGTTCCTGGTGGGAAGCTGCTGAGTCCTTATCTGAAACTTTCTGAGCAATTATCCCAGAAGTGGCAGGCACCTGCTTATACATGGTGACCACTGGTTCTCCCTGCCTTATGAGATAAAGCTTTGGTTTTACTGAAAAGAGAGGGGATGGTCTGGTGTTAAGGCCTAGAAGATGCTTTCCATAGAGTGTAAGAGCTCTTGATCCCCATGTGTAAGAAATCAGGAAAGGAAGGCAGGAGATGGGCATGGATGAGTCAAGACCTGCTGGTCAAAATAAAGGGCAAGAAGGAAATGCAAGAAACTGGAAGTAGGGACAGGTATCCCGGGAAGAGTATAGGGACGTTGCCCAGTTGTATAGGGACAGAGTCAAGAAGGCCAAGGCGCAGCTGGAGCTGAACTTAGGAAGGGATGCAAATAATAATAATAAGGTCTTTTGTAGGAATGTCAGACAGAAAAGGAAGGTCAAAGACAGTGTACCCCCCTGATGAACGCAACTGGCAAACTGGTAACAACAGCTGAGGAGAAGGCTGAGGTACTGAACAACTTTTTTAACTCAGTCTTCACTGGCAGCCTTTCCTCCCACACCTCTTGAGTGGATGGAACTCAAGGCAGGGACTGGGGGAGCCAAGTCCCTCCCACTGTAAGAGAAGATCAGGTTCGTGACCGCCTGAGGAACCTGAACATACATAAGTCTATGGGACCTGACGAGATGCATCCCAGAGTCCTGAGGGAATTGGTTGATGTAGGTGCCAAGCCACTTTCCATGATACTTGAAAAGTCATGGCAGTCAGGTGAGGTCCCCAGTGATTGGTAAAAGGGAAACATTGCACCCATTTTTAAAAAGGGTTGAAAGGAGGGCCCTGGGAACTACTGACCTGTCAGTCTCACCCCTGTGCCTGGGAAGATCATGGAACAGATCCTCCTGGAAGCTATGCTAAGTCACATTGGAGGACAGGGAGGTGATTCGAGACAGCCAACATGGCTTCACCAAGGGCAAGTCTTGCCTGACCAACCTAGTAGCCTTCTATGATGGAATGACTACGTCAGTGGAGAAGGGAAGAGCTATGGATGTCCTCTGTCTGGACCTCTGTAAGGCCTTTGACACGATCCCCCACAACATCCTTCTCTCTAAATTGGAGAGAGATGGATTTGATGGATGGATGGACTGTTTGGTGGATGAGGAATTGGTTGGATGCTTGCATCCAGAGAGAGTGGTCAACAGCTCAATGTCCAGATGGAGATCGGTGACGAGTGGTGTCCCTCAGGAGTCAGTATTAGGACCAGTACTGTTTAATATCTTCATCAGTGATATAGACAGTGGGATGGAGTGCACCCTCAGCAAGTTTGCAGATGACACCAAATATGACTCATGCTAAATCCAAAACACAGCGCTATATGAGCTACTAGGAAGAAAATTAACTCTATCCCAGCTGAAACCAGGACACGTGGTTCACCTAAGTGATTACTCCTGGGGTTATCCACTTGGGTGAGCGTAGTTGGGGTGGGCTTGTGTCATGGCAAAGGCCAACATCCGCATGTTTTGCACTTGATTTGTGTGCGCGAGTGAGCGTGGCAGGATTCCTTGTGCTGAGATGCTCTCTGCTTCTTTCCCATCAGTTATATCAGTTGGAAAACTTGTCTGTTTGTGAGGAGCTGACGGAAGGGCAGTGGAGGATTGTTGCTATACAAGTAACTAGCACCCTTGTCATGAGGCAGGTTGCTTCCAGCTGGTGTTAAAACTGGCTTTAATTTTGTCCTTTACGTAATAGGATGAGACATGCTGTGTAATACTGCGATTGAATAGTGGTGTATCCAGGTTTGAGATGGACTTGGACTTACAGACCTACATTTTAAAATGATGTGTCACTTTCCACAGAACTGAATCCTGCTCTGTCAAAATGTGGTTGTAAAAGAGTTTAATTACACATTTATTTTAAAATGTTTGCATATATGTAATGTAAGTTTTGTGTGTGTGTATATTCACATGTGTACCTTTATACTGAAACATGTATAGTAATATAATTGGAAAGGCATTTTTACTCTTTAGTACGTAAACAGCAAATCCAGTTATCCTCAAAGACAATACAGTAGGAAAATCCCCTTTACATTAGGTACGATGTTAATCTATCATGCATTATTAGTGTGTTTGTTTTGTCATTTATGAGCAACCAAGAAATTTGTATGGTACAGGGGAAAAAAAGGGGAAAGTCTGTAAGGTAGAGTGTTGTCTTGTGAGGGCAACAGAAAGTTCTGTTTTTATTAATATCTCTTGACTTCAGCAGTAAAATAGCTTTGAGTTTGGGTGCTACCTGTGAAACTGTATCTAAACTCTGATATTTTTCTTGGGTGTGTTTTGTGTTGTGTTTTTTTTTTTTAGGCACCAGTGCCTGTGAATGGAGATTCTGTTTCCCCAGAAGGTACGTTTTTCCCCAAATGCCATGCGATTTCTTTAATCATTTGCTTTAAAAATTGACATAAAAACTGTCGTTTTGAAAAAAGGTGGTTTTGTGCACATGAGAATGATAATAGTTATATTCTGTCAGACTGTAATGCCTGTGCCCTGTTAAATAGAACATGGGCAGAAATTCATGGATGGTTTGTGGGAAAAGATTACTTTTGAGTATGAGTGAAAATGTAGTCCACATAAAAAGATGAGAAGACTAAATTTTTCTGTCACTGATCATGGAAGGCAAATGCATGACATTTATCCTTTTTAAAGGAGAAAGGTTGCTTTGCCTTAGCTACTGTGTGGAATGACAAAAACTAACTAATCAAATAAACAGCCCCTTTTCCTAAAAGTGACATAACCATACTTAATTTTCAAGTGTAAGTTCTGAAGATAAAATTGTCTTTCACTGTTATGACTGTTTTTCATGTTAACAGAACATGTGTTTTTCATCAAGAAATGAACAAAAATGAAAATGTAGGATGCATTAACCACTTTAAAAAAAAAAAGAAATTTTTCTACTGGCAGGAACTATGGAGAGGACATACGTGCTTTTTGAGATGGAGGGAGTTACAGAAACAAAGAGAAACTTAGTCATGAGTCGAGTTCCAGATTGTTTGCAAAGTAACATCTGTGTAGTCCATGTCATGGGAAAGCAAGTTGCATTCCATTTGTCCTTATATGGCATGCCAATAAATAGCATTTATTTACTGAAATACTACATCTCAGACCTCTGACAGACAACTGAACATGATCTGCCTGATCTTTGATGTTTTCCAGGGATGGCCATGTCAGTGTTGTAACTTGTTGCAGGATTGTTTCAGCCAAACTGTTAAAGTGAACAGATACTATTTTGAGGCTGTGCTTTACATAGGCTGGGGATAGAGCTTACCCAGAAGTATTGTTATGGGAGGGGAGATAGCTGAAAGGGCAGAATGTTGCTTTTTCAAGTGTTTGTGTCTGGCTAGTTGTATAGAACTAATGTCATTCTTGATGTGTATTTTTTTTGCTTTAGTTGATTCCTGGCACTTTTTTCCCAAGTGATCGTCAAAGTGTTCTGAAGCTGCATTATCAAATCTTAAAGTCATCCCTTTTTTGAAGACAGGCAAAAGCACTAATTGTTGGGTTCCTGTTGAAACAACTTTTCAACTTGTGTAAACCTTCTCTCATGTAAATAAACACTGACATTATAAAATGAGTGTTTCCTTTCTATGTCTTTCTTTGTGCAGGGTGGAGCAGAGGGAAGAGGAGGGCTTGCTTGTTTGTTTCTGAATCTCAGAACTCCAGAATTGCTCTTAGCCACTCACGAAGTATAGTATCAAATGAGATGGGAGATAAGGTGTCTTCAACCTTGTTCTCCAGATTTTGGAATAATCCAGCCATCAGGTGCATAGAAGACTGTTAATTTATATCTTAGGGCTTGTCTGGCCACCCTGACGGTAATCTTTTTCAAGTAGACAATAATCTTTATGTAATAGGCTTAGCAGTTTACCATGTTCTTTAATACACAACTGTGCGCTGTTTCTTGTAGTTGTATTCACTTTTGTGCCCAGTTGTCTTTGCATGCTTCGTAGAGTTATGAGCAGCGCATACTTGCTTTAAAAAAAACAAATACAACTTCACTCCAAAGAGTAATTCAACTAGGAAGGGCTAATGCCATAATAATTGAAGTAAGGATGCACGTGTGCTCTCTGTACTACATCCTGTTTTGACAACTTGTGCGTTTCATCACACAGGAAGGACTTTCCTTATGGAAAGCTCCAATTTTTAGAATTGTGATGCCTGAAGGCTTTGATAGTTCCTCATTCAGTGAGGCAAGATTAATAAAATGTATAGAACTGAGCTTTGTGCTTTCATGGTAAAAAATAGCTGCCACTTTTTCTACTGCTGGATTATATCTCATCTGTCTGCACCCACAGTGTTCATTAAAAACAAAAAAAAGACAGCTGTTTAGAAAGAGAGGAAATGGTAATATAGACAGACAGCTTTATCCAGCTTGTTACTGAGATGAAAGGTGAGTGTTGTCTGCTTTGTATGATGACTGAAACAAAAGGTTAATATTGCTGACACATGATGGAAATGGAAGATAAAGGACTGAAAAAGTTAGGCTGTGGCTGGCCATAGAGGACTAACTTTTTCTTACAAAGAATAAGTTATTAGTAAGAATGCTTTCAACTTTAGGAATGTTTCTTTGATTTTAGGAGATGATTTTCCTGGTTTAGAGACTTTCCTCTAGATTATTGTCCAATGTATAAGCACTAGTCACTTGGGAAATCTCAGTTTGGGCCTCAGCACTTATGAAAAGATGGAGTTCTCCTGTCTGCATAGAGTTTTGCATTGTTGTATACGCAGAGTTTGGGTGTGGTATGAAAAATGCAACATAAACCTCAGATATTAAGGACGACTATTTTTTTTTTTAGTCAAGAGATATGTTACATCCGACATATATTTACAGTACTGATTTTCCATACTTTATTTTATACTTCAAAATTCTAAGTATGTGTAGCATTATACCTACAGATATAATACCCTTTTTAGCCTTTTTTTTTTTAAGTAGAGTAAATGTTTCCCTAGTGTCTTGGGTTCACGTGCAGCCTCTCAGAGCGAGATTACTCTGGTTAGAGGTGAGCTCTTGTGGAGTGCAGAACAGCTGCTGTATTTGCCCGTATGGTGGTACATCTAGGAGGCTTACTGTTTTGTAAAGTGCTTAGGGACAGCTGGACAATGAAGGGCACTGTGTAAAATCAATTTATCTTCCCTATACAGTGGTCACTGCTGTCCTTTTTTGATTTTTTTTTTGAGACCTAGAATGAAAAGTTGTACGCATATGAAAAACAAGTATTGATAACAAACACCATGCTGAACTATCAAGAGTAGGTCAGAAGTTACTCATTTTTCAAATAATTTTAGTAGTGTTTTTTAATTTATAACTATTGATGGCATGTGGTTAGGAATTCTGAAGGAGAAATGTATTTCTAGATCAGCTTAGACTTTGTGCAAGAAAATAACAAATAGTACTTGGGAAAGTTGAAAATTGAAGTGGTCGGAAATGCCCAATACTATAATAAATTTGTTTGTTTGTGAATCTCAGAACATTTAACATTTGAAAATGTTAAAATATTTCTTATATGTAGAGTATATAAACAGATGACCCTCTTGTCTTCAGACTACTTTCAACATGTGTTTATGTACATTTTCTAAAGGTTTTTCCCAAGTGGGATAAAAAGATGTACTGTTACGTGTAGCCTTGCTGCTAAAATGTACTGAATGCCACTGACATGTGGATTTCAGAAATGAAGCGTAATGAAATAACTGTGGAGAGAATGTCTGCTAATAAGAGGATTAGGGGGATGGGTCAGAAACTAGAATATATTTTTCAGATCTCCTCAGGAAAAACAAGTCTGCGCAATAAACACATTTTTTAATTTTATTTTGGCTTTTTTTCGCAGGCTAGGTCTTCTGTTTGTCTGTATTTATATGCCTATATTGTACTTAAAATTGATTTCACTGTAGTGGGAAGCTTCGTGTAGCAGTGTCCCCTTCTCGGTAGTTTTATGAAAAGAACTTTTTCATATCTGATACTAATATCTGCTGGAAAGATGTCTTGAAGAGAAATAACTTCTTTTTTTTTTTTCCCCAGGAAATAAATCCATCTTAGCTGTATTTTCTGTGTTGAATATATAATATACATATGTATATATTTCTTTCAAGGATAACTGCATCTCAATTTCCTCTTTTTGTCTGTTTTGGAGAGAAAGGAGAGGTTACTTCCCCCCCCACTCACTGTTGTGATGATGAAGGTTCTTTTTAGATATGTAAATCATTAGCTGCTGCTCAAAATAGTACCTTTGACTGACACTGAGTCCACACTTCAGCCCCCCCCCAGTCAAAAATGGGGTTTGAATTCTACTTATGTGGAAATAATGTTCATTATTCTTTAAAGTGTGAAAATAAAAGGATTGTGAAAATAGTATGCTATTGTCACTGTTAGGATGTTATTTTCATGCTGTTAGTAACAATGGGCATCCTCTGAAAACCCCCAAAAGAATAAAAGTAATTCTGAAGTGTGTTTGGGAGAACTGTTCATAGATGTTATGCAAGAAGAGTGCCTTACCATGACTTGCCTGTGGTTGCTGCTTGTATTAACGCTTGAGAGCTATGGCATGAAGCAGCCCTAAACTGACCGAAGTATTATTTCAAGCTTCTCTTTGCTTTTATTGGGATTTAATCTTTTTAATGGGCTGTAGTTCAATTTTAGTCCAGTTAAAAGGCAAAACCAGTATTAAGTCGGTAGGGTGCAAAAATATTTTTTTTTCTGCCCTTGCTGTAAAGATTAAGGTGACTTCTTAGCAGGTTTCATAACCTGGGATCTGCCCCCTGAGGACAAGAGATCTGGGGTTTAGAGAACAAAGAGGTGAAGAGTTAGCTGGAAGAGAACAGAAAGAATGGAAGACAGATCTAGGAGGTTCAGGCAAATAAAAGTAATGAACAGAACATTAAATAGAAGTGACTGAAATGCTTTAAAACAATTTTGCCTAAATATTGCAGCAGTACGTAACAAAGCTGACTTCATGCAACTGGAGAGGTCAATAGGATGCATTTGCCAAGGAAGAAGAATGTCTACCTACCACACAGAAGTTGGAATTGCGTCCCCTCAGTGCCTGGAAGTAGTACTCTAATCTTTGGTCTCCTGAGTGGGGGGAAACAATGGAAAGCAGCAATTGTATTTATTGTTGAGTTAACTTTCTGGGAGTCTTTTGGGTTTTGCAGAGATGACCTGGGTGCTCAGCAATGTTGACTGACCGATCCACACACAGTCTTTGATTTCTCACAGCTTACTGTTCTGGGCAGCAGGATGCTGGAGGTATGCAGTGCTCTCTTCCTGAATCTACAGATGGGGTCTAGAGGGTAGACCAAAAAAAGCCAAGCTCACTGCAGTACGTTGTCACTTTCTGATTATTTGTTGGCTTTGGCTAATTAATTCATTGCTAATTCTTGTGGCAGAAGCTTTTAAGTGTTCTGGAACTATGGGCAGAATTCAGATACTGTTGCATGTTTTCTCTCATTCTTGATCTGATGAGTTACAACTGAATCAATCTTATCAGTGATTCAGTATGCTAAGTCAGAAGTAAGATTTTTGTTGATGTAGATTTGGTCTACCGTCAAGGGTCAAAAAAGGGTTTCCCTTTGTAAGGGAAAATGCAGAAGCCAAAAAGAATTGCACTACTCTGTGCATGAAGAGTATGTCTTATGTGCCAGAACACTGATGCCCGTTAGCTTTTTCCCTTAGAATATCCTCATAAAGTTTCTAGATTCTTCACAGATGTCACCAAGTTTAATACTGACTTTTTTGTTTATTGCCTTCGGAAGAAGAATACTTGCATTACCCAGGTATTACAGCACATACACAAATTTATGTGTTCAGTTGCACTCCTTGTGGTTTGCTTCTGTATATGCATCAATGCTTGCCTGGAAATTAAGGGTTTTTTTTCAGACCTGAAGATCTGGTTTTGTGTGCGGTGTTCAGTGCAGAGATCACTGGATGGTCCTGTAAGCTTCTCTTTCGGGATGAAGAGAGTAAGTGTAGTCACTGAAATGGCTGCATGTTGTAGCTGTTATTAGCTTTATGCTCATTTATTGGTGCGTATATCAGGACAGGCATATTGGGATGTTATGAACCTGGTTTGTCTACTCTGTGTATCTGTCTGCTGCTATTATACCAGCTACAGGTTTGGGGTTTTTCTTAAGCATTTTGTATTTCACATTTAAATATGCTGAAGAGTAAACATCTACCTGGTATCAAAAGCCCTGGGTCGGAATACAAAGAATTAATTTTAAATTCTGCTTTTCCATAGTGGGCTTGGGCAGACCACGTAATCTTTTTTCTACCCATTTTATAGGTAGCATAGTTTCTTCTGTGAGTGGTCTGATTTCTGCCAGAGACCTGACACTTCCCCAGCATTGAGAGGGGAACTCCTTCCAGTGTCTAGGAAAACATGCATTCAGCTTTGTTTACAGTGAGGAGGTTAGCTATACTGACAGGCTTTCTGAAGGACTCGGCTGAAGATGCAGGCTTCAGACTGTCAGACTGATCTGCCCAAGGGTTGTCTGATGGCGTAATTATCTTGAGTGAAAAGAGCATCAATGGGGGTGAAAGTTCAAGGTGTAAATCGGCATCTTCATCCTTCTGAGTTCTGC